GAAAGAATAAAGAGCGCAGGAAGCAAAGTTTCTTCCTAGAAAAACAAGTTTCCCCATAGAAAGCTGGCTGCACCAGTACCCCAGTCCTAAGCTTGGCAGACAGACTGCTCACGTCTCACAGGGAAGCAGCTACTCATGCAGAGAAGGAAACCAGTTTTCCAATTTCTATAGATATTTAAGACTCTCTAGATGCAAACAAATGCCTAACGGGATTTTCAGAAGGCACCTAGACATTTCCAGTGTCCTTTTAATAGTCATGCAGGTGCCTCTACTAACCACCTTTGGACCTCTAGGTCCTTTGAAGAATCTACACCTTATTTATTACAGGGGGAACAAAAGCAACCCATTCTCAAATTTGTTGCAGTGTGCTATCAGAAGTTAGCAACGAATCTGAAGAAGTCATGGTTATTCAACTGCTGTTGCGCATTTCAGCCTACACCTTCATTCATCAGAGTGAAGTAACGAAAACCATGTTACTGGTCACTCCAACGTGCCTTAAAGCCTGGTCCAAGATTAGAACTACTCTTATGGGAAACTGAGAAATTCCAATAACTTACATATTTTACTGGATGAAAACAAACTACCATTCGCTAAATTCAAAGCTGATTTCGTTGTGCTGATGCCTCGCCACACGACAGCCTCACAGATGCGACCACCCCCACATCAAGCACGGCTGCCAACGAGATGATTTCCCTGCGATGCCACACGGTGCTCCGGGCGGCTGCTCAATACTCCATGCGCTGTGGCATGTGTCTACACAAAAAGCATCTCCCACTTTGGGCAAACATCGCAACAGATTGTGTCCCCTACCTGACATCCTCCAGTGGGTTCCCATGTGGTACAACAAGCTCTTATTTAATTTCTGCACCAAAAGGCAGACGATGACTCTCACTGCTACTCACACCAGCCTGGCGCAACCAGAGCTTTTATAAAGAGCTCTTGAGCACGAGGACCAAGCTAATGATTGAAGAACACCACATTTGACTTTGTCTCCCATGCAGTTTTGCATCTCCAAATTAGAAAAGAGAGAGACAGATTTTGTTTTAATTTAATCCTACTTCAAAGAAGTGAACGTCTACTCTTATTTGCAAGTTACCTTTTCCTCTCCACCCCAAGCAAGAAGGTTGTATCTACTCACGTCATCCTGAATATCCAGGTCACAGCCCGCCTTCAACAAAACCTGGACAACATGGAGATGACCCTTGTGGGCAGCAAGATGCAGGGGGGTCCGGCCATGCTATGAATGAGAAGAAAATAATAATACCTTAAGGTGAATTTTTATGCATGGTTGTTGACCAGAATTTTATTCTCTTTTCCTCATTCTTCTGTTCATACTTCTCTCTCTGAAGCCTGCAAAAGCAGCAGTTGGCATGTATTAGTGTACCAAAGGCTTTACCTTAGTTTTGTGTATGCTGAAAACTCCTCCTCCCCCTTCTGCAACATTTCAGTTTATCCCGAAGATACTCTACAAAAGGGATATTATATTCATGTAAGGATACTTCCTTACAAATTCAGATCCAGCTTTGTGTCCATGTCTAAAGAGGATTCATGACCCTTTTGTTTCTGTCCCTCTGGAGTGCAGAGTTGTCAACCGCTTTCAACTTCACTCTGTACAACGAAGTTGCAATAGCGGGCTAATTCATGTATTGTAATGGGTACCATCTGTATAGATGTAATGGGTACCATCTGCGATAGAAATAAGAATTACTGGACTGTTGTGTATGACGGATGCTCCCTTTAAAAGGAAGACTTGCAGTCACTCCAAGTGACTTCATGTGTACGACAACCAACCTCATTTTGCCAAAGATCTGTCAGGTTTTTTTAGACAATACTTATTTTTAAACATTACCAAGCTCTAATCCACATGAAAGTAAGAGTATAAAATAGTCATGAGTAATTCAATATATAGTGTAATCAAGGACGGTACTCTAATAAACAGAAGGACAGAAAAGCTTTCATTAGTGAGATGGATACATGATCTATGGTTTAAGGAGGGGAAAAAAAAAAAAAAAGATTGACATTTGACAGTAAAATCTTTTCTTTTTTTTTTTTAAATAGCATCTCCCCAACAAATGGATTCCAAAAATCTAAGTGAAATTACAAGAGAAAAACAATAGTTACTTGTAACTGAGCCCCGCTTGATCATCTTTTGGTAGAATTTAAAATTAAATATTTCAGGAAAAGGGGAACAGGCTGCTTCTCCTACAAGAGGCATAAGAATCGATGTGAAAAGAGGCTCAAAGAGTGAAGAGATTGTAAGAGGCAGTCTGGACAACAGAGGAGAACTACAACAAGCGATTCCCTAAAAAAATTAACCAATACAACCTGAAAAAGAAAACTCGTAAGGGAGAATCAAGAATTAACTCCTGCTCTAGGAAGTATATATCTGTATGTGTGTGTCTGTATAAAATCTCAAAGCATCAACATGAAAAGCAAGTGAAACACCTTACGAACTGTTAAAACACCAACACTCTAGAACTGTTCATTGCAAATTTTATTTCATTGCAATTAAGAAAACAGGATTCCAGCCATTGCTAAAATCACAGACTATCTTCACAAAGAATCCCATTTTCTCCACCAGGCGTTTTATGAGATAAAGAAGACTTACGTTCCTCTTCACCTGTATGTGTTATATATCTATTTCTTCGTTACTGCTGTTGTGATTATCTATTTTTCCACGCAAAGGCAGATAAAGAGCCCTAACAAATCGGCTACAGAAGGAGAAAACACCTCAAAAGCTGGCTGACTACTAGTGGCCTGAAGTAAGCAGAAGGCAACAACCAGCTTTTGAGGTTTTAAGCAACTTGTCCAGTGGGAAAGCTACTTCAAGTAAATAAAAAACCAAGCTCAAGCCAGGATTGTTTTCACACAGCAAATCCCAAACCCGCATAGATGGTAAAGCCTTGGGAATTCAGCCTCTGCAGAGCAAAAAGGAAAGCCAGCGTTGAAATCCACAGAACACCTGGGGACAAGGTGTTAATGTCATTACTGACTAGTTATGCCGTGCTTTGAAAACATTAGAAGTTGATTAACTGTACTACATTATTGATGTGAAGGGCCAGACCTAAGGGAAAAGCCCTCACCCACGCTGACCCATGGGTGTCTCAGAACCCAAGCGTTGTCTCCTGTTAGGCAGCAGCAGCTTGTTCCCAGGTGGGAAACGTCCATTCCTGCCCTGCTGAAGGCGTGGGAAGGGCTCGCTTTCAGCTGTCACCACTGCCCCTGGGTGCCATCCAGCCTCCTGCTTGGGCGCTTCTCACTTGACGCAGCCACAGGTGCCTAAATGCCTGCCCCTACGGCGAAGGGCACCAAGCATGCTTCCTTCTCCATCAGCCTGGAGCAGAGCCAGAGCTATGTTGCTGTTCCAGGTAACTTGACAGCAGGAGGCATAAAAGTCTCCAGGCAACACGGGAAAAATTAAAAAAAAATTAAAAAAATAGAAAAGAAAAAAAAAAAAGAAGCCAGATTGACAAATCATTCCTAGCTATGAACAATATGTTTGGATTATAAATATGTGCTCCAGCACGTTCAGGTTTATGGGTTCTGACTTTCTACATTACTTAATGGCAATAAGTAAATCATCTAATCCAGGCATCTCACTTCCCGGCAGGTTACTAATATATCATGAGAACAATTTATTGCAATCTGTGCATGGAGCAGAAAAAAATCCCAAACAAGCCCAACCTGAAGCCAGCTCATGTACTTTAAAAGGAAAACAGCATCAACTACATGAATACATCCCAGCAGGGAAACTTTCTGATAAGATAACCATCTCTAACCACTGAAAAAATGCTGAGGTGCAGCCAAAGGTACCGTGTTAAAAATAAACTATGAAAACAGAGTATGAGTTTATTTCAATACGAGGGACATGTTTTCCTCACCCAACACACCTTCCTAGGCAATCGCCACACAGAGCGTGCCTGGTGGCAGGGCAGAAGCACAAGAAAAGGTTGCAAAACCACACAAGATCCAGATCACGGGGCCCTGAGCTGCCCATTCCGTGCCTTAAGGCACACTAAAATAAAGCCGCCCCAGGGAACAGGCTTATCCGGAGGAGGCTGCCCTCGCCCCCAGGAGCACCAAGCTCTCCTGTCACTGGGACCAAGCCGTCCCCCCTTCTGGATAGCTGGGCAGCCTCCCCGTGCTCATGGCCACCCACAGGAGATAGGTGCTGGAGGAGGAGAGGGCACTTGGTGGAAAAGACCACCGCGGGGCCAGGGAGAGCTGCGAGCAAGGGTTGCCTGGCTGGTTCCTGCCACTCAGCGAACAGAGATTCAGCTTAACTGTGCTTTTCCCCTGTCATCATCCCCAAGCGTTCAAAAACTTCATCCAGGTCCCCAAAACTCAGGTTTTTGTTTAAAAAAAAAAAAAAAAAAAGAGTTATTGAAACAGAAGACTACAGGGTTATTTTTATTCCAGAAGGTTTGTGTGTTTCAAGATTCTCTAACCAAAAACATAGGTTCAGAGACATCCCACCTATTGGAGACCCCTAGAGAGAGACCTTCAGAGACCAGAACTACGGCATACATGCTGTCCTTGAGCTCTTCCCACTACAAAGGGACACTATAAAGGAAAACTATGACCCTAGGAGAGTGGGAAGGAGGATCAATTCCAGCACATTACACTGATTAGAGGCTCAGGCTTTTGGAAGAGCACCGATCATCTCAAGATTAATCATAACCCTGCAAGAACTGGCAATGCCAGATTTTCTTTTTTCTTCCCAGTAACATCAAAATGAGAGCAGAGATGGGCGGTACAGCTGGACAGTGTTCCAGTACAGGAAACTCAAACACTGGAAAAACGCTCCCACCCACCTCCCCACACAAACATATATACACATGCATATGTACATACACACCAATCCAGAACAAACTATGAGGGAGAGACAAGGCAATTTGGGTGCCCCTCATGCTGTGATGACAAACTCAGAGCATCGCAGTCTTTGGAGAGAAACTTTGAACAGGTCTGTGCCACGGTGAGAAGCCCCAGCAGCGACAGCCAGAGCTGCTCTTGCCTGCTTCTGATCTTCTCCTTTGTGTCTGCAAGTCAAACCAACAGCCCTTTACACCAGCTGTGGAAGGAGACTGCTGATGGGCTAATAAGACTTTTTTTTTTTTTTTAAATATTTTTTTTCTCTCACAACAATGCATCCTACCCAAAATATCTAGGAGGAAGAGGGAGGAAGGCAGACAAATTTTCCTCTGCATGTCTCCTCTCCATGAAGACATTTCACACTCGCCGCTGCAGCACCAAAGAGGGGACTTTCCAATGGGTCCTAGTGGGAGAGGAAACATATACAAACAAGAGTGTCTCCTATAGATGCTCATTGCAAAGAGACAACACTAAAACCAGAGGCTCCTTAACATGCAGATTACTGACTTAAAAGCTTGTGAGCTTCCAAATATGAAATGTAATGTTTTGGGGGTTATTACAGAAATACAAATGAGAGACTGGTACAATTTGGGATTAATGAACCAATAAAGCAGTCATTCATATAAAAAAATATGCAATTTGGACTTCTATTCAAATGTAAATGATTGTTTCAGCAGGCAACAAATCATACAAATCCTCCTGTGTCACCGGCTTATTGACAAAATAAATGGGACCTATTGCATCAAGGCTGCAACTTCTAACAACCGTGACGCACTGCCATAGCTATGGGGTGTATCAGGTTGCAGCCAGGCACAGTAAACAGCCACATGAATTTCAGCAGTAAAATGCAAGGGTAGGGTTTTTGTTTGTATTTAATCTGTATTCTAACTTCCAGACATTGACAGGCTGCTGTCGATACACAGGGTTTAAAAGCAGAATTTTCTTAGAGCAGCTGCCAGTGTATGCACTCTGCAACCAAATCCATACAGGGGGCCTGAGCACCACAAGCCGCAGGATCTTTCCTTGTGTTTATGTATTTGTAGATACGTTTATGCAAGTCCATTCAGTTCTCCACCTTATCCTGCTCTTGTGCTGCACAAGGCTTGTTATTTATTCATCCATTCTGCACTTACACAAAAACATGCTTATCCACGTTTTATTAGACAGCTTGAAAACAAAACCGAAGGCTTGTCACATTGTTCACACTGATGATTTGTTAGACTGTTCTCCATGAATAACCTGCTCGCTCAAGTCAGCAGAAAGGTTCTCATGGACCTCAATAGGCATTCAGCGAGTCCCTAAATGTTTGCTAGTCCTCTTTCATTTATTTTTATTTATTGTTTAAAACAGACACAAGTAGTTCTTCAAACTGAACGAACACAAAAATGTGAAAGCACCAAAATATATTTCTTATTTTGTTTCTGTCTTAACTTAAAACAGAAGAAAAAAAACATTGTTTTAAATAACTCAACACGCTCTGAAGTTGAAATCCTGATGACGAGACTACAAGTAACCAAGCATTACAAAAGTGTTGCCATATGGCAGGTTTGTAACACAACTAGTTGAAAATTAAATCAAACAATTATTGAATCAAAACAGAAGCACTCCCTTTTTCAGTTTTTTCCGAATTATCATCACTTCTCTGCAGAATTCAATTTCATAGCTATAATCTTAATGGTAAGCTCTGCAGAAAAGCTATATTCTGCTTCCCTTTGAAAAAATATTCATAAAACCCATGGTGCTATACAAACTATATTAAAACTGCTTGTACTACCTCTGGCAATCTTTTATGTTTAACAGAGAAGCAGCACACTCCTCTGTGCCCGCTTGCTAATACACAGCTTTTTCTGACCCTATAATTCTCACTGTTGAATGCTACGCCCCACGCTGCAATGCCCCAGTGAAACCCAACACCCAATAACACTTTTTGGGGGGAGCTGTAATGCAGAGGTTCAGACCTGGAAATTACATCTCTGGGCATGGAGCAAGCCCACGTTAAGGGCTGCGGTTCCCCAGTAGTGCCTTGTTTCAGCCAGGCATCCTTGGGATACACCAGAAGCTGATGCCTGGGAGGTGAAATCCCTCTTCTCTTCATCCTCCAGGCACCGTTCTGGGGACCAGATCAAGAGAAGAGCCGACCTGATCCGAGATGTCACTACTACCATTTCTCCGGGGCACTCCTAGTGGTTCTCAGCCCTTTCCTATACCTCTCTCAACTCAGAAAATCCAAAGAAAAGTAACCCAGGAAAAGGAAAACAACATCCTAGGAGGACAGCAAGGCAGAGTAGCTCAACAAAAGTCCCAGCGCTTTAATGTCGAAGATGCAGCTGTCAATAACTTTACTGAAAGAAAGCTCTACCGCAAAAGGACTGAAAGATGGAACCAGCTTTCTTGCTTGAAAGAAAAGACTTAATTATACCAGGCTCAGTTCTTAATTTTCCAGCTTTTGCAGCATATTCATCAAAATACTTCATAAAGGTACTTGCTTGTTGGATCAGCCAATTTGTATGACTAGTTGTTCGGGGTGTTTTTTGCCCTTTTCAAAAAGAACACAGCTATACATTTCAATGCCTGTGAAGAATGTCAGACAAAAAGGCACAAAAACAGAAATCATCTCTTCGTCCTACCAGGCAGAGCAGGAACAGAGCACCCTGGTCAAGAAAATGCCCGAAACAGAGGCATGAAGCAGATCCAGACCGTCTCTTGGTCACCACCCCACATGGTTGGTGGCAGAGATCCCAGCACCAGGAGGAGCGCTTGATGTATGTGCAATGCAGGGCCACCAGCCCTCTCTCACTCTGGGCTCCCTGGTGTCAGATCGTCAACAGCACCATGACCAGCTGGCCATCAGCTCTTCTTTACCTATTTTAAAAGGTCCCAAACCTGGAAGGAGCCCCAGTGTCCCTCACTGGAGTCAAGGAAGATGCCGGAGTGTACACTTCCATATTGACTTCACCTGCACAGATGCCTTGCTAGTAACACTGTCAAAACGAAACAAGTGCATCCCTGAGGAAACGCTGAAGTGAGCACCTGGACACACTGATTCTCCATTGAATTCTGATTCTTTCATATTATGCTTCTTCTGAAATCATGTAGTTAGGAGGTGACAAAAATGAAATACTATTTTGCAGCTGAGTTGTTGTTTACTGAAGCAGCAATTAACCACGTCATATGACCTTCCCTATATATGATAAAAATAGAACTGGACGAGCTTGCCAGCTATCCAGCATTTAATAGTACTTGGTTCGTTACAGAAAATATGCTGCATTTTTCTTAAGCCATGCTCAATTAATCCAGTTTGAATAAAGAACTTTAGAGCACTTCGCTCTAGATCCTGGTCACTTCAAGCTGTGGCTCTGCATGGCGTTTTTGCACAAGAATTGGTCTATGCTTACGGATGCGTATTAGAAATAAATTTTAAGCCTGAAGTGGTGTGGGAACTTGTTCTCTCCTTCCAAAGAGCTTTGTCTCTGCATGTCTTCTTCCAATAAAACTATAACAAATCCCCCCCCCTTTTTTTTTCCTTTGGAGCAAATCCCTAGAATTTAAAATTAATTTGACAGAACAAACTGAAGACTTTGAATAAAAGCAGAAGACATACAGGTATAAGAGAATTAAGGCATGCACGTAAATAAATTTATTTTTATGCTTCATTTGCAATGAGTTTTATCTTGGGGAGGGGAGAGGGCTCTGGGTTTCAATTTATCCGAAAGCTTCATCAATAATTCTCTGCTACAACAAGCATTCCATCTAATTTCCATCCTAAAATTAACAACCCCTATCCTGAAAGTAGTTCTCATTTCATGCCTCTTCTGCTTATTGAAAGACTGAATAAGAACCTGGGCTCTCTGATGGCTAAAAAATCCCTTCAAATTTCCAGTTTAAATATATTTGAGGCTAATTCATACGTGCTTGCTCCTGTGACAACCTTGTCCTTGACTTTAAATGGCCCTTTCTCCTTCCTTTGTGTGTCGCCAGATTAGCAAGCCAAGCTCTTCCAGGGTATGTTTATACAGCCTTTCATAGGCAAATATGCACATGCTCTCCCTATGCAGCTAGCTGGCTGGGTGAGAGCCAGATGCAAACTGGATGCTGTGTAGACCTGGATAGGACATTACTGAGCCTGAACTGATGGGCTTTGATGAAGGCAGCAGCTTGGCCTCATGCCTCTTGGTTCACATTGAGTTCACCTCTATCTGGCTCACAGCACAAGAGGAATAAGTGCCTGAGCACCTCCAAAATACTCCACGTATGTAGCCTCGGTCGCTCTTCTGAGAGCCTCTCCACTCCTCTGTGCACTCCACAGTCTTGCCGATCTGACTTGATCTCTTCTGAGCAGAGCTTGTCACCAGGCTACCCAAGTACCTCGTCTGTGCTGTCTGCTGATGTGCCAGGATGCATCCAGAATGACAAGAAGGATAGCTTTTGTCATCCCCCCTCTCTGGGCTCCATGGGGATGACCCACAACCTCTAGAAAATAGCTACAATCCCATAGCGCCAGATCAGCTACAGGGATGGCCTTGGAGCCCACTGGTGAGCACGGCTTTCCAACACCAACACTCTGCACCTGGGCCCAGTTTTGCCACCCAACAAGCTTTGCTTTGACTTTCCACACAAGGACTGAACAACAAAGCAAGTGCAAGAAGCAGGAAGCCACCTAGATCTTATAGGAAAGAAAAACTTGTCAACTCTACCAAACCTGCATTTTATCAAATTAACCTGATTTTGTGTTCGAAAGTCAGATCTGCACAATTTGCTTCTTATTGTAATTAACAGAAAGCATTGATAACTGCGTAATAAACTACTTTAACAATGGTAAAAGTGTCACTTTTGCATCTGACTTGTGGATTATGGCAACTAATTACACGAAACAATTAAATCAGGTCATGATTATTCTGGCAACCATTACAAAAGACACCACATTTTACGTTCAAAGTGTGGAAGCTGGATTTGAAATTACATTAATGCACAAATTTATATAAAGCACAGCATCCTTTCAACCGTTTGTGTATTTTCAGGTAGGTCCCTCAGCAGTCCCAAAGCTCATGATCCTAAAAAAAAAAAACAACAAAAAAACCCAAACACAAAAACCCCCAAAAAACCCTCAAAAAACCCCCGAGCTACCATTCAGACATCTGTAAGTCAGTATTTCCTGATCTATTACTGACTACCTTTAATAGCTGTTCATCAGCTACAGAGCTGCTTGGACAACAGAGCCAAACAGGCATCTTATGGGACCATTCATGTTTATTACATCTGTGCTTTATATCTACCAACAAGAGGCCACTTAGTTTTGGCAAACAAAACTTAGAAACAACGGTTGTCCTTGGATCACTTCAGCTTTCAAAATAAATACTATCTAGAACTCAAACACTGCAAAGGGTTTGAAAACAACTGTCACTGACAGATAAAAAGAGGAAAAGACACATCACTTATCAAATGTACTCACATTTGCTTTCTATCTGTAAATATTAGCTCCCAGACATATATAATGTTCAAAACCAATATGGAAATACAAATAAAACTGGACACGATGGAGAAAAATAGTTAATCAGAACAGGACATCCCAAATTTTATGTTACAGCTCTAAGGATCTAACTTAGCTAATTCTTTTAAGGGTTTTTGCTGATCAAACCTTCTCTGCAACAGCCACTTCTATCTTATCTTTTATATGCTAGTATTATTTATAACATGGTGAGAGTTAGGAATAGGTGAGTATCAGTTTGAACTCTCTCAAAATCTAAGCAGAAATCCTTTAATGCTGACCTTATCTCGAAGGTACAGGGAACACAGTTTGCAACCCCGAATTTTGGAACTGACTGGGGACTACAAGGCACGAATCAACAAAGATACCAGGTATAAGCGAGGCTGCTGTATCAAGAGACTTCAGCAGCAAGAAACGCTTTTTGCGTATCTTTACCCTACTGCAACAGGTGGCCTTCCCCCATCCCCTCAGCCAGAAAGATGGGCGCTCTGAACCGCCTTCCCTCGACAGTGATGAATCGCTCCATTCATCAGTCCGCACAGTGTTCAAAAGTCAATGCACGCTTTGAAAAATGTTGCTGCCCCTCGCTGACACACTACATTTCTAAGGATTCAGCATTCACCACAGCTGGCGTCCACTGGGAAGTGTATAAATACAAGACATGCACTATACTGTAAATCCACACGAGCTATTGAGTATAAACTGTAAGGAAATCTAAACACTAACCTCAGTCGCATTCAGAATGGTAAAGCTACGAGGGCATTTTCACAGACAATGGTCTAGGAGGTATGTTAGTTCCCAGGGATTTTGCAAAGCGTTTTTCTCTTGTTACCTTGGTAACCGCTACCTTGGCACCCCTGTTGATAAGCTGCACCACATTCTCCACTTGGCCTTTGTAGGCGGCTACGAGCAGGCGTTCTGAAAGCACGGCGACCACATCCTGCTGGCTCATGAATTAGGAGGGAAAGGTTTTCAGGTTTCTTCAGTCCAAAAACAAAGGCCTGAGATCGGTTCAAGCAGCACGCAGGCAGGCGAGGAAGGACCCCAGCTCCCTGGACGGTGACGTTATTGCTATGCCATCCTCTGGACCTGTGGATCAGAACACAACATTGCCGTCAGCAAGGTTTCAGAGACCGAAGCACTGCAGCAGTTCCTCCCCGAGCGTTCGTCTTTGCATCGCTTTGGGAGGGGGCGACAAAAAACTCTCGGAGCCTGCTGAAGACATTGCACTTCTGTTGCAGTGCAGAGGGATGCAGACAGTACCACATTTTCAATGTGCCCTCATGCCCTTAGTTTGGGACAAAAAATCCTTAAACTTTCTGAGAGCTTAACTCTTTTGGCCTAACTGGTATTTGTGTGGCTCCCTTTCATTCTCTCCTTCCCTTCAGGTTTCCCAGACTTTAATTAGCCAAGGACAGGTTAACTAATAGTAACTCCTAATAGTAGCTCAGCCTGTGTTGGCCAAGGGAACAAGAACAGGTTACAGTTACTGGCTGCTGATATAAATATACACACCTCTGCCCTGGAAGGACTGAGTGCAGTCAGCAATTAAAGGCAGCTGACTGTTCCCTCACGAGCATAAAATGCTTCACAGCCTCCCCTGAACCATCCCAAGGACACCTTTGGGAGGGATCGCAAGCTGCAACTGGGAAACACTCATCTTTGCTGTCAGCGAGAAATGATGTTCCCCACGCAGTGCTGACATCGCGCCACACTGACCCCAGAAACAATTCAGGTTTAGCGCTTGTCATGCAACGTTGTGAGCATGTTCTTCTTCCCAGGCTCCACTGACCCATCCAAGGAACCATCGGAGCTGAAAAGAGATTTCTGACATAATTCCACAAAATCTATCTGCAGATCACTCTGAGTTGTAGGATCCAGAACCTGCCCAGTTTGAGAGGATTTCAGCTTTACCTGTGCTTTTCACACCTTGGTATTTAATTGTTTCAGTACAGGAAAAACACCTTCAAGATAGCCAATGTGTATACAGAGGATTTATCTTTCTCTCTCTCTTGAAACATCATTGCACTGCTCCTTATCAGCTACCAGCATTACAGGCTTTGCATAGTCTAAGGGTAATTGGTACAGGGACTGGATGATCTTGGAGACTGATAGTGGAATACAATGTCTTTCACCCTTACGTTATCCCTTTGAATCCATCTCAGAACAGCAATAACTAAAGGCTATTACTGCTTAATGGCTTTGCTGCCCCCCTAAATTGATCGTTTGTCTCGGTTTAGCTGATAGTACAAAATCCTCCCCATCATAATCCCACCACCCAGAGTACTGACATTTTTGCTAACAGCTCCAGCAGGGAGATCATCACCAGAACAGCAGAAAAGATTTAATTTCCGTCCACATACCACTCCCAGCAACAAGGAGAAAATGCACAGGTGGTTGTGGCACATGAATTCCCCATCTTCTGGGGGTGAGACCTTTTAATGAACATTACTCCAATGTTGTAAGATCATATCCACCAGTACACCTCTGCAACAAAAAGGTGCTGTAGCCCTGTTTAATTGAATGGTTAATAGGGTATCGTGATCCTCTGTGTCACCAAGTCAGTATCCAAAGTCCTTGGACCCTGCAGGATCACTGAACATTTTTGATCACAAGCTCACGTGTATTAAAACCATGTTAGTTAATTTGTAGTAGTAGAAGATACTTGCAGAATTTAATTTGTGCTCCTATGGTAATTTGTATTAACAAATCTTAAAATGCTTTATGAGCATGAATTTTTATAACACCCTTTGAGGTGAGTATTATGCTCAAGAATATTACACGCATTTTAGAAAAGGGCCCTTTAAAGCACAGGAAAGTTCCTGGTTTCTCCAAGGTTAATAGAAAAGTTATGTCAAAGCCAGGAAATAACTTCAGATAATTGACTTTTGATTTCTAAGTATAAGCATTAGGCAATACTATCTCCAGGTAAAAGATTCAGGTTAGCTTTTCTTTACCATCCTCTTGCTTTCTAGGTGTGAACGTGTTTGGAGCAACATGGAAATAGCTGCACATTTATTCAGAGGAACAAGACAAAAACTTTCTGGGTCTCAAAAGCAGCATAAGAATGGACATCAGAGAAGTGGTGCTGCAACCTGTGCTGTTGGACCGGTCTCACCCACACCCTCAATGTGACGGACACAGTTTGGACACCCTGGCAACATGGAAAAGATGGAAGTAAGAAGAAAAAAACCCCCTCGTTTCCTTCACCAGCACTGTACACATCATGCCTTGCCCCTCCAGCACAGTGATGTGTGTGCCCAGTATAGTACAAACCACATGAGCCAAGAAATACAGATGGCCTACACTTAATAATTTGATCCGTGAAAAGCAACCTAAGTTTCGATCTCACCTCCCTAAGTATTTGCTTTCCAGTGACACATGTTACCGAAGCAACCTGAATCCCCCGAGCCAGCCACCCTGCTCCCAGTGCCTCCCTGACCATCACATCACATCCCAAAACAGCATCTCCATAACCCAGGAGCGCTTCCCGCTCCTTCCCTCCGTCACCAGCACACAGTGCAGGGCAAGTCTTACAACAGGGATCTTTCTCCATGAGCTTTTCAGGCAGTGAGGTGGTTGGTTTGTGTGTCAGCCCTTGCCTGTGCAGTGGTGGTTTCCAGAAGAACTGTACCATCACTTGTTTGTCCCCATCCTTATACCTAACCTGGCTGCCCATACACTGGATGGAGTCATGCACAATAAATTGACAACTCTGTGCATCTTAAATCATCTGTGGTCAGACCCCGTTTGGTTTTCTTACCCCTTAAAGTCAAAAGAAAGCAGTAACATCATGGACACTGAGAGATTTTCATATTCACTGCAGAAAGCTCAACGCAAACATTTTCCTGACACGCTGACATTTCTCAGCAAATTCACAGAAACTCTGGATGCTCATTATATCTTAGCTGCACCACTAGAAATACACACTAACACCTCAAATGACTCACGACAGTGCAAAGTTTAGTTCTGCCACAGAAAAGTCTGGTTAACAGATACGTACTTACGCAAGGTAAATGCTGGAAATTGTACTCACTTCCTAGTGTATTTTCCCTTTCTCTTGCTGCCTTCCCATTACTGCAGTACGTCCCCCCCAGAGATCATGAGCCTCCTCAGCCTGCCGTGCCCTGCCACGCTGGAGTGACGGACTGCAACGGCACCACTGTTATCATGTAGTTTGCCTTCTTGCCTCTTCCACCGCTTGGATCATGCATAAAAGCATAGCAAGGAGTTGATTCAGCTGTCGGTCTTTTATGGATGTCTCCTACGTTGTCCAAGTCTCCGGCAGTCGTCAGTCCCCCTTCCCGGAGGGCAGGCACGTCACAAGCCTGGCTCCTGCTCCGGGCTGTTTCGCAGACAGGCGCTCGCACAACAGGTCACATTCCCCATGCTGGCTGCTTTACATCTCCTCAGCTGGGATTATTTGCAACTCAGAAAAGCGCATCCGATTAGGATAGGAAGCCCAGACAACTGAAAGACCAACTTTCCTTTTCTCCTGAGCTGGTAGGAAAAGGCAATGGGAGACCAGTGGGAGCAGGAACAACCTTCTCATTCCTCTGCCAGCGGACTCTTCCCCAGCGCAGTGGCTCCACAGGCAGCAGCACCGCTCCCCGCCAGCTTTAACTCTCTACATGCCTCAGACACACAGAGCATCTTTCCTCAAACACGTCTGCACCCGCAGCAGGAGGAGGAGGGTACCAGATGCCCAAGGACTACAATTAAAAGCTCGACTGCCCCTTTCACACCCAGATGGTGCAAAATGACCCTGACAACACGATTACAGGCGCTGCATCGTGTCCCTGCTGCCAGCACCTGCTGCCCAGAATTAAATCCCTCATTATCACCCCCCCAAATCTGGGAGCTTGGGGGAAGCACAGAGCACAGGAATAGTCAAACCTTCTGCCTTCAAAACAAAAAAAAAAAAGGATTTTGGTTTAATGTATTTTCAAATAAGAAACAGCCATCTCTGTATTTGTTTGTTTAATATCGGATTACTTACCTGGGGCAGGCTGGGAAAGCAACGCCTACGTCCCAAGCCTCTCCAGGGAAGCCGGCCAGGTGTGATGCCCACAGGTTCAGCTGCTCTGCCGTGGGGCAATCCCTTCCGAGGATAACCTGCTCACCCCCAGGGATAACCTGCTCACCCCATTGGCGGAGCGTGGAAAAGGACAGGTTGACCGTGGATTAGTATTCCCAGCCGGCAGCAGCGAGGCACTGTCCCCAGGCGCTGAGGTCCAGCCGCATCCCCACAGATGATGCCCGTGGCTTGGTAAGCCACGCCGCCCTACGGATGCTCTAGGAGATGTTTGGCTGGGAAGGGCACAGCACAGCACGGGTGGGCAACCGGCTGCTCGGTGGCCGGGTCGTAAAGCTCTCAGCTCCGGCCTCCCTCCCGTGCAACTGGCGGAGCAGGCGAAAAACACTAGGCACCTTCCCCCTCCCCAGCTCCCTCCCCTCCAAACTGCTGCCAGGCTGCTTCAGCGGCCGTACTGCCAACACATCCGTAACAAAAAAGTACAGGAAGGATGATTTTTGAAAGCCAAAGCAAAGTCCAGGACACATCAAACATCACAGATATTGAAAGGCTCGGCGGTAGCCTCTCCTAAATCCACAGAAAGGATTAAAAAAAACAGCTTCCTCTCTGAGGAAAGAGGAAAAAAAGCTGAAAACTATGAAAGATTTAAGAGATATGAGCTGATCAACTTCATGAAGTCCCTTGCACTAAATGGAAAAGATGCAACGCCAGAGCACAGGTCACTCTCGGTACAATCACTAAGTTAAATTAGTATCTGAATAAAAGAATGCTTACATAGCTAACGAAAAGTTTCTGTGTGTACCAAGGTACAAGATGAAAGAAAAAAAAAAAAAGCGAAGAAAAAACAAAAAAGGAGACCCCACTTTTCTGCAAGGGATCCCAAATTCTCTTTTCTAGTTTACTACCAGAAATTATGA